CCCCGGACACAAGGCAGGGCACCCGTCCCGCAAAGCCCCAACCCTCCCCATTCACAGCCTGACTGACCCCTTTGGAATCCAAACAAACTGCACGCACCCGTCAGAGGTACTGAGTCTGTCCCCAGATGGTGTTGGGGGGCAGAGAGCTGCAGCAGGGAGAGTCCGGGGCTGGGTGACAGCGAATGCCCATCTGGGGCCTGCATTTCTTGTCTGTCAAGCGGGAGGGGGTTGGGCCGGGGAGCCAGGCTTCCAGAGCAAGTGTGCTCCTGTCTGTGTGTGTGTATCGGCGGGAGAGGCCCGCACTGAAGCCTCTGGAAGCCGAGCCCCAGAAGCCTGCCTCCTGGCGCGCCTCCTGTGCCCTCACCTCACTCCCTCCTACCTCCAATCCCAGGTGACTCAGCCTGTGCTCCCCCAGCCCCCACCCCTGCAAGACAGCCCAGGGCTCTGGGAGAAAAAGCAGACTTGGAGCCGGCCGGCCTGGCTTTGGGTCCAGCTCTGTCACCTGCTAGCTGGATGGCCTTGGGCAAGTACCTTCACCTTCCCTTGCCTTCGTTTTCCATCTATAAAAAGGATAGAATAGTGCCTTCTCCCTACGGGCTTGTGGCTTGTTAAAGGACTTAGCCGTGGAGTGCTTGGTGCTCGGTACACAGTAAGCACTCTGTAAGGGCCAGGTGCCTTGTGCTCTCTCAGTGGTGGGTCTGTGTTCCCTCTAGCCGGGCCCGTGGAGGCTATGAGCAGGGGTGGGCTCTCCGGGAGCCCTGCATGCTCACCCTGGCCCAGCAGCTCCCCTTCCAGGCCCAAACCCTCTTCTCCTCCTCTGCCTTCCCCTTCCCTCTTGGCACGACCCAGCCTCCCACTTCACACAAAGAGGAGGAACATCAGGAGGGAACTTCCTGGCCTCCCACCCAGCCCCAAACGGAGCTCCATCTGCACGTCCTCCGGCTGGCTGGGGGAGCAGGGGGCCCTCCTCCCCTCCTCCCCTCCTCCGATTTGGCTTCTGCCCCTTCTGCTGCCTCAGGATCCTGCTCCCCCTCTCAGCCCCCTTCCCCTCCATTCATGAGTAAGCCCTGTTCTATAGAACCTTCCCCCGCCACAGCCACTGCCTTGCTTTTCCTAATTCCTTCAGTCTGTCGGATGCCCTCAGAGGGGCCCGTCTGTAGCCTGGACTAGCTCATTTCCTAAACCCCCCCAGGGGGAGGGATGGTGCCAGGCCCACAGAAACAGGGTCCTGCTCCCCTACCTCGGCCACCCAGCTGGGCCGTGGCACCTGTCACCAAGTCTCTATGCCATCCCAGCTCTGGCCGGACAGCACTGGGTCGCTCTTACTGAAGCCACCAACTAGGCTAAAGTGGGCGGCCTCTCCCCACGATGGTCCTTCCTTGCTTTCAGCGCTGGAAGGGGTCACCCGTCCCAACCTCTGTCAAATGCCCACACACTACCCGGGGCGGGGGGGGGCGGCGCTAAGAATTCGGAGCGAGGAAACGCAGGCCATCTGCTTTGATGCAGCAGGGAGTTGGACATCGCGTTCTGGGGAGAGTGCGGGCCTCTCCCCCAGGGGTTCCGAGGAGTACACACCCTCTTTGCCTTGAGCTCTCCAGTGAGAGACTGCTGGGCTGCTCGGCTGACCTACTTCTCCTGCCGTGTGTGGCCTCCCCCAGGGCTGCTACGCGGGGCAGGCCATGGGCGTGCACGTCCATGCGCACACACGTGTGCGACGCTCCCACTTCGGGCTGTGGCCCTGCTAGTCATTTTGGGCTGTCTCTGCATCCTCTGGGAGACTGATTGGCAGCTGCAAGTTGCTAGAAGCTCTTCTTCCCTCTCTCCCCTCCTCCCTCACACAGGGGCTGTTGGGTGCATGGCTCGTCCCCTGCTGCTTTGGCCTCAGAGTTGCGCTGTGTAGGCGCTGGTGTGGGTCAGGGGCCCAGCCACAGCGGGGTGGGTCTGGGTCCCACATTTGCCCCCTGCACTCCAGGTTCAGCCCGCGCTGTGACCACCACCCTGCGCTGCCTCTCTCTCGTCTCCTCTGCCGGTCCTGCTGCCTGCCTTGACCTCCCCCTGCCCCATCCACAATCCTCAGGTCCCGTTTCTCTAGGAAGCCTTCCCTGCTGCCCCAGGTGCCAATTCCTGCCTCCGCTGAGCCCCAGGATTCACACAGGGTCTGTGTGTCTCTCTCTGAGGGTTCCTGTTGAAATGTCTTGGGGTGGTCTCAACTCTGTCCCCTGTCTGTCCCCATCAACAGGCCAAGACGTCCCCGGGGGGTAGGGGCTACATCTGATTCAACTTGCCCTCATCCCTTCCTTTGGTTCCTAGGGCCCAGTTTTGGGGGTCTTCACTATTGACCCCTCCCTCCTTCACAACCTCTCTCTCCCTTCCGGCCTGTTCTCTGCAAGGCGTCAGCAGGAGACAAGGAATTAATCCACATAGCTGTCCCTGTCGCTGTGTCATGGCCCAGGTACACACCGCCTCTGACCCAGTTACCACGCATGTGACTTAAGAGGCACAGTGGGGAGCGACGGAAACAGCACGGACCTCGGGGCTCAGCAGGCTTGCCCTTGATCCTGCCGTGCGCCACTTTTTAGCCGGGTGACCTTGAGCGAGTCACTTGTCTGGGCCTCCGTGACCACACCTTCACGACGGGGAGAATCACAACAATGACAACAGCAGCAGCTAACACTGAAACAGGGCCCAGCTCTAAGGATGAGCTCATCTTCACGATTCAGTGGGTAGGTGTTCTCATGACCCCCATTTTCGGGAGGAGGAGAATGAGGCAGAGAGCCCGGACAGCTTGCCCAAGGTCAGACGGCTCGCATTGGGATTGGCTCCAAAGTTGGCGCTCTTAACCACTGTTTTCCTGAGTCAGAATGTTGGGAGTGTCCCATCCGGATCCCTGGATATCCAAGTGGGGAAACTGAGGCCCAGGAGAGCACAAAGCCTGAGCCAAAGCTGCCCATGCATTCACTCGGCTCCTGCGGAGAGCCGACCGGCTGTCAGGCGCTTCCCGTGTATTAACTCACTTAATCCCCACAGCAGTGAGGACAGAGCAACTTCTTTCAGGCGGGGGGACTCGAGGCCAGAGAGTGAAGTAAGGTACACCTGCCTCCCTGAGTGCTTGAGGGCATATACGCCTGGCATCTGCGGGAACTTGATCTAAAACTCTTTTACCTTCATCACCCCTGCCTCCCCTTGAAGGAGCAGCCGTGCACTTGGGTGGCTGTGAACTTTCCAGCAGCGGGTGGTGGAGGCCCCTGGCTACTCCCCTCCCCGCCTCCATCCTGTGTGGTTGACACTACCATCCACGCTCAAGCTGACCATGCTGTTCCGGGGGACCCCACATGCTTCGCGCCTCAAGTGTGTGTCCTCACTGGCCTCGAGGGAGGCCCCTGGTTTCCCCTCTGTTGCTGAAGGCAGCGGGGTGTCACCCGGCCTTCTCGGCAGCACTTGTGGCTCTGGCCCTGTGGGCTGGGTCTTCCGCCACACGCTGGGGGGGGCTTCCCAAGCAAGAAGCAAGATCGAACTGCCTACCACTTCCTGTTGGCAGGTGGTTTGAGCTGGCGCCTCTCTTGTGAGAACTACACCCAATGCACAACCCAACTCAGGCCTGCTTTGGAACCGCCCTTCCCTACCACACACACACACACACACACACACACACACACACACACACAGTACCAGCCTGGCAAAATTTCACTCACTGAGTCCTCATAAGTACCTGAGAAGAAGGGCAACAGGTCTCCTGCTTTTTAAACAAACAGCTTAACTTAGTACACACCACAAAATTTACCCACAGTGGGGCATACAATTCAAGGATTTTAGTAAATGTCCATTGCCACGATCAAGTGATACTTTCTATTTTATAGATGAAGCACAGAGGCCCAGGAGGCTGGTGATTTACCATGGTTTTGGTAAAGATAGCCAACTGTCCATCAAAACTTTGGGTTTCTGGGGCGCCTGGGTGGCTCAGTCGTTGAGTGTCTGCCTTCAGCTCTGGTCATGATCCCGGGGTCCTGGGATC